ATCGTGGCCTGCAAGGATATCCACGGACGGACCCAAAGACAAAAGTCACATCCCGCCATCCCGCCTACTTCGGCACACCTCGCACACGGATCGTGATCGTGGCCCACAGGGATCTCCACCCACGGCCCCAGAGGCAGGGTTCGCACTGCGCCACCCCCCCGGCCATTGCGGCACGCCCCATCACGTGGATCATGCCCACAAGGAACACCACCGAAAGGCCCGGTTCGAACAACGCCCCTCCCCGCCCATATCAGCACACCTGTCACGCGAATCATGCTCCTCCCAGCGCCCATTTCGGAACAGGCCTGGCACGGGGAATGCCCGGAGGAGGTCCCCCTGCGGCCTCAGTGGGCGTGTTCGCGCGGCCCTTCACGCGGATCGTGCCCCACAAGGACATCAGCGTACCCGTACGCGTGCCCCGCGGCAACCCTCTTTCCGCATTGCCCGGGCCTCTTTGGCTGTCTTAAAGCGTTCCTAGCCCGTCGGACGCTGCCGGAAGTCGTCTTTGAGGCCTGTCTTCGCCGTCTTCGAGCCCGCTTGGAGCGCTTCGGGGCTCTGGAAGGCAATATCAAGCGTGTTGAGTCCTCTTGGGCCGTCTTGGGGCCCTCCTGGGGCCATCTTTGGTGCTTTTTTGGGCCGTCACGGGGCTATCGTGGACGCCTCTTGGGTGCTCTGGGAGCGATCTTGGGAGCCAATTGGGCTATCTGGACCGTCGGCAGGCCGAAAAAAACACATGCAAAAATCTTCAACCACCAACGGGAAATCGATGAATTTAGCTTCGTTGGGATTTCCCAGCGGATGTCTTGGAGGCGTATTGGCCGCCTCGGAGACTATCTGGAGTTATCTTGATCCCATATTGTGCCGTATAGGGTGCATCTTGGGGCCATCGTGGGCTCTCTAGAGGCCATCTTAGTGTTCTTGCAAGCATTTCTGAAGCCACCATGGGCCATCTTGGAGGCCATCGAGGCCGTTTTGACCCAGAAACAGGGGGTCCTGGAGCCCCGGTCCCGCCATGGAGAAATGAGGCCGGGCCCCTCCGGGGACCTGGTATCTCGATGTTAAATAGATATATATATATATATATATATATATATATGAACATATACATATACTTGTATACAATTCCACCGATCCGGCGTGCGAGTTTGTGAGAGCGTGGGCTTGAGCTCGCTCAAGCTTCGCTCTGGAGAGGGGGGGGGAACGATTCCAACGGAATTCACTGAACGCACAAGCCCTCCCGCCTCCCACACACACACACACACACACACACACTTCCCTCTCTCCGAAAGGAATCTTCTTCTCTGACCCCCTCCACCCGACAGCCCCCCCCCCCCAAAAAAAAAACCCTTCCGACATATCTCTTTCCGCTCTTCCGCTTTCTCTCCTACAGACCCCCCCCCAGCACAGCCCCCCCCCCTTCCGACAGATCCTTTTCCGCTCTTCCGCTTTCTCTCCTTCAGAAAAACATTTCGAGCCCAGGAGGCGCCCAGAGGCCCCCAAGAGGCCCCACGAGCCCCCCAAGAGGCCCCACGAGGCCCCCACGAGGCCCCCGAAAGGCCCCCGAGAAACTCTCCAGCGGCGCCAAAACTGCCCCCCCAGGAGTGCGTTTCTTTATTTTCGGCGATTACGGGCGTCATGGGGGGGGGGCGGGGCGAGTGGGGGATATGACGTATCCAGTTTGGCCCAAGTATGGCGCATGACCCAAGAATTGCCCCAACATTGCCCCAAGATGACCACGAGACGGCCCTGTGGTCCCATTTGCGATCCCAGCAGATCTTATATGCAAGCCCACAGACGACCCCAAACGCGACTCGAATACGACCTCACTCTGACCGCGAGAGTAACCACATGACGTCAAGATGGCCTGAAGATTATCTCTGATCTCTGGATCACTCCAAAACGAATGTCATACGATTTCCGACACCTTATGGCAACAGCCTTGCCACACTACGAAACCATGGCGATCACACTATGCGCACATACCCCCAAAAACAAATGACCTCAATCTGATCCAAGAACCCCCAAGACGACCCGAGATGTCCCGGGCACGGTCCAATGACCACAAGATGATCTCGGGACGACCCCGCGGCCCCGTAGATGACCTGTCTGAGATGATTGGGAGATGACGAAGAAGTCACGGGACCATGCGTTTCCAAGATGATCACGAGAAGACCCCATGGCCCGATGCAATCTATATATTAAAACACGTCCTCAAGCATGCCCAGATTTGATTCCCAAACGATCCCTACGAGCTTCACCTCATCGCTGACAACGCAACGTTTACACTGCGTAGCTCACATCACATGGTTCACATTTCATAGCTTACACCGCGTAGCTGACCTCCACTCAACACTAGCTCGCTGAGTGGGGTCTACGCTGGCCAACATGGGTACGTCTTGAAAAAGTGGGAACGCGCGCATGGCGGATGCTGCTGGTGTGGCGCGTGCGCGGTCGGATGCGTCCGTGTCTCACAGACATACACGCCTTTCAAGCGCTAAAGAGATGTCCGCGGACCGTCCCCTTTTCACATGTTATGAGACACGGGCACTGGCGCGCGTGAGCCCAGTCTGCCCAATCTCACGCCTCCCGCACGATGGACACCGATGGACATGCATGGTGCTTTCTGGAGCGACCTGCGAGCTCATCGAACGCCTACGAGGACACACTATCCCTGATGCCTTCACTCCTCCAGGCAACCACCAACCCAAAGAAACGTACAGAAGAAGCCATGAACACATTAGGTGGCCGCATGTGAACCCTACCCCCACCCCCAACGAGTTCTAAGGGAGGGGGGAGTCACTCCGCTCGGGACTTCCCCAACGAAATGAACCCCCACCACCCCTTAGATATCATGGGGTGCCACTAGGGTTCACATGTGGCCACCGACACTCTGACGATAATGCAACTCTAAACATCCCAGTGACTAGGCCAGACCACGGCCCTCCCAGGGGAAGCCGATGGCGGCGTCCAGCCAGAGATGGATGGGCAGTACGTGAAGCTACCCCCGCGCTGTGAGGACAGCCCATCGATGCCGACACACCCGACCCATGGCAACGTCACGGCCCTTCCAGGAGGAGAATGACACCGGCCCCAAACCAAGGTTTGGGAATAACGACGGAATGGGAATGGACATCCACAAGGGGTCCTCCCTGTCATGACAGGGAGCCCTGCATTAAGCTAAGCGGTAGGTCGGGCAGCTACTTCTTCTTTCCTTCAGGCCAGGCAGAACACCACGCTTGCCAGAGCAACGCAAGGGGGCAACTTCATCAAATCAGAGGTACTGGGAATTGCACACGTCGGCCGGAAGAAGTAGGCGAAACCATGGAGCAGAGAGGCGGATCACGTGGAGTGTGTCCAGGCCCTCCCAGAGAGCAACGCAACGAGGCAAAAGCACATCGAAGCTCGAAGCAGGAAGGCGCTAGAAGTTCCAACGTACCTACTTGTTTAAACAACCGACGTGCACCCCCCCCCCGGGCCACAGACAGGGCAGGGCCCGCCGCAGGGAGACGAGAGAACCGACCACCCCGAGGCCGCTCGAGGAGGGAGCTCCGCCGCCGCGTGCCGCACCCCGCGCTCCCGACTCCCCTCCCCCCGTGCGGCCTGCCCACTCCCTCGAGGCGTCTCAGATGCATCCCCGAGACCCTTCGGTGGCAACTCACGGGAGCCTCCCATTCCATCTTGTTGGCCGGCGCTAGTCGGCGCTGATCGACGGTGGTCAACGCTAGATCGACGCTAGATCGACGATAATCGACGTTCACCGACGCGATTCCCAGACGCTAATCAACGCTAGTCGACGCGAAAGACGGAATTCAGGGGGTATAACAGGCTCTTATGATTTGCTACCGAAAGACCCTGAGATCCGACACCGTGAAACAAGACGAAGCTAGGACGAGGATAACATCTGGTAAAAACAAATCAAAAATCTGTGAGATCTGGCGGGGCTGGAGGATGTCTCCGGCGCCGCGGCCTTCTCAGAGTACTCCAGAACGCTCTGAGAGCGTTCCGGAACGCTCTGGAACCGATTGATCCTCGTCTTAGCCCCGTCCGAGAAGCATTGCTGCATCGCGACTGAACACGACCATAGCCCTAGACACCATCGCTCTTGGG